GCATAAGACATAAAAGAACGTATATACTAGGTACATGCACTTGATCAGTACAAAAAGTATACACCACTTATCTCAACAATAATATCCTGAGTCCAGACCAAGTGAGCTACAACCTCACACCAGCCAGGCACATCTGCTTCTGCCACGGTAGTGGGGCAGCTAAATGCAATTTTTCGAAAGAATCATGCAAATGGTGATACAAGCACCAAATTTGGCATGGTAATTCTCTAATGGTTACTAGTCAAGTCTGCCTGATTGGCCATTTAAAAATTCTGGATGGCTGCCATTTTTAAGATGGCCGCCATAATGACCTTCAAAATTATATTTTTCTTATAGAAATTGATGTAGTTGGTCAATCTGAGTGTTCTTGGTGTCGATATGTATGTTTTCAAGAATGCTCAGATGATTTTTTTTTATAATTCTAAGTCCATTGTAACATTTTTATTCACATAAAATAACACTTTTAGTAAAAAATATAACAAAAAAGAACTTAGTAAAAAAAGGTACTCACTATTAGCACTGGTTCCTGTGACTTCTCCTGACAGTACATTTTTGTGCATTTACGGCTGTTCACATATGCAGCTGCGAATTGCTGTGCAGGAAAGTCCAGAGCAAAAGCATTTGCATCTCTGGTTGCAGTCTTTCTTACAAGATTATTTGGTCAGCTTCTGACAGCATGTCGCAATCTGGGGAAGAGTCGTTCAACGTATCTGCCATGCCTCACCCTTCTGCGTCCATCCCCAGTTGACAGGACTGCTGGTTTCTAGATTGGAGATTGTTGCCTTACCCCAGATGATACCAGCCTGGTAGGCAGCCCACTTTGCTTGTTCCTTGAGGGCTGCCTGGGTTGGTGGAATGGAGTCATATGGTCTCTGCTTGCGGAAAAAGAGATTTAGTCTTGCCTCATCTACACCAGTGGCTGCACTAGATCTGTCGAGCATGAAGACAACAAATCTTTCCAGCTTCTGCAGATCAACATCAGCAACTGTTGTTGGACATTGGCTGAGTTTGGTAAATGTTTCTGAAATTTCATCACAGACATTCCATGTCTGCCATGCAGATTTCTTTCCTTTCCCACGGAAGCCAGACACAACGTCACATCCAATGAAAGCATGAAACTATAGGATCCCACTAGTTTTCTTAAGCCCTATCGCAGAAACTAATTCATGAACTGAAGACCATCGATGACTGGCTCCTTGGCCAAAGGCAATCCGTATGTTATCAAGACCAAGCTCCTGTAGTGATGACAGTGCAGATACTGCAATGACGACCGCGTCAGTGTCATTGGCTTTGATGATGAGGGACTTGCTACCATGCATTGCTGCATCCCGACGTAGATAGCGAAAGGTGTCTCATGGTCCTTGGAGTGTCTGTAGATTTGTGTTCCTACCTTGTAGTTGGCAAAGCAGTTATAAATGGTAAGAGCTGTGACATAGCAAGGTCAGACTTCGATGCGCAATGCTGGAGTTGGGATTTGATATCTGCACCATGTTCGATCACATACAACCGAAGCTGGTGATGGAGGAACAGCCTGTTCACACGCATCCTTCATGAAATGCATTGCTGAAGTGTGACTTGTGCCGAAGCATGTCCTGGGTCACATCATCCAAGCAGTTCACAGATGGATCGCGTCACCATATTTACTTTTCTGCTTGTGTCAGAATTCGAGCCAACATCCCTTCCCCAAAGGCCAGTAGGATATCTTCCTTGGGTGATGAGCTTGCAGTTGGGGATGTGAAAAAACAGTTGGTTTTCAGTTGTTTAGCATGTGAACAACATCGGGCGATTCAATACCCAGCTGTCAAGTTCCTGTCTGTAGAGTGTGACCTGGCTTCAGCAATCTGAAAATGGGTGCTTCATTACCTTCACTAGAAATCTCTATCTGAGGATGTAAGTGACCAGTTCAGAGAAAGTTGTTGGGTATGCAAATCTGTTCGATGAATCTCTTTGCGCTTCTTCTTGCCTGCGAGCATTTCTGGTGTGTTCTTCTCGGTTGTACAGGTCTGCCAGGCAAGCGAGGGTGATACTTCATTTCTTGGGCCACAATATCTCCTGCACTTAGTTTTGCGAAGGAGCTCTATCGCTAAGGTTCTTGAACAATCATCATTCAATCTTGTATTAAGTTTCTATTGTCATTGCATGTCTTATGTCATTCCCCAGTTTCTCTCACATATATAGAAAGCATTCTGTTGCTTTGGGGTTCTCTGCAATTATCCGTAGGGCTCCACATTGCCAGTTTCTCTGTAGCAATCTGCAGAGGTTTGCCTTTCTTGAGCTCTATTTAACTTTGTGTTGTTGAACAGAAGTCTTTGCAACTCTCATGATACTGTGTCTGCTCTCCTCAAGGTCTCTCTATCTCATCATCTTCATCAAGTCTTGGTGAGTAACAAACTCTTTAATGGCAGTGTATTTGATTGAATGTGAAAATAGAGGAATATTCCTTGTCAAGCTCCTAGACCCTTATCTCCTTTTTAGGCGGATTTGTACAGGAGACTTAAAATTTTCCTTCTTATCCTGTTAACAAATATTGTAAATACTTTTGCCTAGCCAGTGAGTAGAATAATTTGTTGGTAGATTTTGTGTCCATAACTATTTTTGATCTTCAGGGCCGAGAGTTTATCCTTTAACAATTCTGGTGAGTACTTTCTTGTATGGGATACAACTAGGGAACCATGCCTTTTGCCCTACACCTATTCCGATCGTTCATCCAGTGCCTTTAGTCTCCAGCAATGACTATTGTAATGCCACCCATGAGATGGTCATTTTCTCGTATGTTTTGCAAGGTCCTGTCCAATGCTTCAAGCGCTAGCTTGTGAGACAAAGTGCATTCATCCCAAACTATGAGGCTGCATTTTTGATGTTGCACACTGGATTCTCATTGTGAGCGAGGTTGAGCGGCAGTTTAAAAGTTGAGTGTATAGTACGTCCTCCTTCTAGTATTGTTGCAGCAATGCCTGAGGATGCCAGCAAGAGCAATTTTCTGATGACGTACTTTGGCCAACAGAAGGTTGATCAGGAATGTTTTCCTGTCCTGCCAGGTGCACTGAGAAAAATCATACCCTGCTCCGGCTTTGTATCGCTTGCAAGAGTCTGTTCAAGCATTTGCTTGATCAGGCACCAGGTGAGGCTCGTTTTCTCATTAACTCAATCAAGATTAGGCGGTCTATATACTACTCCTGTGATGAATTTTTCCGACTATCGATTAATTCTTTCCAAATTGTTTCTGTATTCTGCTCAGTTTTGATTTCCTTATTTATTTCACACTTTCAGATTATCCCTGACATAGATTGCTACTCCGCCGCCTTTCCTAATCTGCCTATTTGTATGGAATAATTTGTAACCTGCAATTTGGTATTCGACAGGTAACTTACGTGAGTCTAGGTTTATCCATGTTTCGGTGAATTCTGTTATATCGAATTTTTCGTATACATACCAAAGCCCTAATATCATCCATTTTGTTTCTCATAAGTCTACTGTTTGCATAGTAGACATTCAAGTTAGTCATGTTCTGAGTCCTCTCTTTGTCGCGTATAGGTTTTAACTCCGTGCCTAATTTAGTTTTGTCATAATTCCGAGCACTATTTCGCTGTAACCTTTCACTTTGTTTTTCCCCTCCCATTGCAGTCTCCTCCACCCCCGTGCTCATATGTTCTCCTAGCAGTTTATAGACTTTGACATCTTTTGAACTGCCCTCTCGAACCCAGCCAAGGTTGCCACCCCATTTCTAGACAGATGCACCCTTCCCTAGCATAAAGGTCCTTTCTGCCATAGACGTTGTCCCAGCTGTCAATGAATGGGACTGATATTGACTGAAATATCTGTCAAGACAGGCCACACCAACTGTCCTTGACTACCATTCATTGCCAACTCTCCTTCTAGGCAGGACACCACATATGATTTGATTCCTCCTTAGACCTAATATTTTCTATAGCTGTCTTGAACTTATCCAGAAGCTCCTCACTCTCACACCTATCATTGCCTCTTGCACTAAGGCAAATAATGGGTTTGTTCCCATTACCAGACAAGATGTTGTCCATCCTGTCCTATATCCCCACCCCAGCTCCTGTCAAACACACCCTCATACTATTTTTATCTTTACCACAAAAGCTCTGTCCAGGTACCATACCTGGGAGTCGCCCAATCAATTTTCGTACCTTCCTTGTCAGCCTTGTCCCTGACTATACTAACGTCCAATTCATCTATCAAAGGGCTGAAAGTGTTGGTACATAGCTGTTGTTGTCGTTGTTGTTGTATCCTTGGTGTGTTTTTTCCACCAGTTTAGTCGTCCCTCTCCTCACAACCTTCCATTTCTGAGTTTTCGTCAGACACTGGCTTTCCTTGCCTGGTTTCTTCCTTCATCCTCGCTATCTCTTCCTTTAATTTTAAGATATCTTCCTTGGCCCTCTCTAACTGGGCCTCAGAAGGAGCACAGCCCTGTTCCAAGTAGCACTAGCCATTACTGAGTACCATTTGTTACATCATAGAGCTGCTATATGCATATGAAAATACCACTGCTGAAGTGTGGGTCACAAAATACGTTTGGGCCCTTCCGTAGTGTTGTATGGCATGCAATATTGTTATTGTAATGTTTGTGCCTTCCTCAGTTTTAAGGGTCACTATTATCTGTCCAACAGTACCGATGAATATTGTACCTTATCGTTGAAGGGTTCATCATTGGCTGGAAACAGCCAATAGCGCCAGTATAACTTTTGTATCTTTACAAGTTCTCGTGACTCCATTATACTTATGATAATAACAGTATTTGAAACTTTACTTTCAAAGTTTCTAGTTTCCCATTACCTGAACAGCAACACCAGTACAGAATTTGTCTTACACAGGTTCAAGGGTCACCAAATGGGCTGTACGACCAGTTGTTATCTCTCATCACCCAAGGGACGACTTCAAGCAGGGGTGTCATCTGTTGTGTTCAGGAGCGCCCTTGAGTCTCCGAGTGGCTCATCCACACAGCCCTTCTGGCCATTGCCAGTAACCGGCGCGAAATGGTCAGGCCTTCTGCTGGCGCAGGCGCTCTCACCCACCACCTGCAACGGCCTCAACCTGCTGACGCTTGCCTGGCTCTCCCTGATGTCACTCCTCCTATCCAGGTCATCATCACAAGGGTGAGTACAATGTTGTAGTATAAATGAAAATGCAGTTTAATAGTGTAGTTGAGAGTGTACTTTAACGAAGAGTACATGTTGTAGTGTAGATGATAGTGTGAGATACGTAATGAATGTATTGCAGATTGAGGATAGTGTAGAATGATAGTAGTCATGGACATGAGCTGCATCTAAAAAAAAAAACCTTGGCAATTTAAATCAAGCTCAGAGACGTTGCTGTGCTGTAGACCCATATGAGGTGTAAGGATGCGACCACACTAGCTACATTTTGACCTAAACATGTGATATAGAAAGAAACGAAGCACAGGATTCACTGTTATGCGGCTATATTTTTAGTGTGCTGTGGCCAAGGTCTTTATAATTATAGAATTTGGGTGTGATCGAACTGGGAGTCAAGTTACGTTGGTGTAATCACTTGACAACTGCATATTCTTACATTTCACTCAGCAGCGGAGTGTGGGGCTTACATTTTATATACTCGTCTATATTTAGCTAAACTGTTAATATTGCGTTTAGTTCCCGACTTGATTTTACAAACCTTTATATCTTTCTCGATCTCGGGAACCCTTTAAATGGTTCAAGAAAACAATTTTTAATAATCTAAACGCCCCAATGAAAAGAGACATCAACTTTAATTTGTAGAGGTTAAAATGCTATATACTGTACTGCTTATTGTCACTTTCATCAGATACCAGAAAGAGGTTGGAACCTTGAAATACGTTATAGGCAAATGTTACGAATAAGTTACACTGGCAGGAAAGCAAATGAAAAACTACTAAGACTGGCAAAAACTTTAAAAGAAATACTTGAAATTTACATAATAGGAAAACTAGATGATTTTGTCATATGATCAGGGATGAAAGAATAGTAACAAAGTTGGGCGAAGTTGAGGGTAGGAGGGCACAGGGAGAGCAGGAACTAGGATGGATGAATGAAATTAAAAACTGGGTCCCCAGAGAGACGAAAATCTCGGAGGATTGATAAAAATAACCCGAAAATATTTAAAGTGGAGGACTGTGCTCACCAATCCATAGACGTGAGGACGGTACTCTGATTCATTGATTAATTATCAACATACATTTTAGAGTATACTATCAATGTGTTATGTATCTTCAGGCCTTCCTTCATGTTCTGGAGTATGAACGTACCAACATGACACACTTCCCAGAAGTTGAAGAAGGTGTTGGTCAACTCATATCAACCATGAGATGTGACAACTCTTGGCGAGCCAGCTGGCCCAGTGGCGGGTCAGTCTTCCACCTGACAGAGCTTATGGTCCAGGCTGTTCGTTCCAATTGTACTTTGACATGCAGCTTCATCCACGAGGCTGGTGGTCAGTCCTCCCTGTGTACCGAGTCCGGTGTGAGTCCCCTGCACGCTGCGCTGGAGGCTGGTCACTGGAACCTGGCGAGGCAAATGCTGAAGAACTTGGGAGGTTGCCTGTATGTAACTGACTTTGGAGGTCGACTGCCCACAACCATGATGTCTTCACACCTCCGCCAGCAGCTAGAGCAGGTCTGTATTTTTGTCAATTATCAAACCATCAGTAAGTATTTGGTTACCTCAGTAAGGCTCTGCTATAGATGAGATGAGAAAGCTTGTGGTATATAATATGTGAATACAAAAATTGATAAGTAAGATATTTCACTGAGGATTTAAAAAGCTATTAGTTGATAATACCAGCAATATTAATTCCACAAAGAAATTTTGGGCGAATTTATCATTTCATAATTGGATAATAAAATCTTTGATTTACTTTGAAGTTGTGCAAAAAAATTCCCACTTCTCACCCAGATATCTTTGTTTGTGTATCGGTTGGGAGACCCTTTGTTTGTGTATCGGTTGGGAGACCCTTGACGAATGTTCTCTACACAAAAAAATCTTGACGAAGGCCTTCACCTGCTCTCAATTCCATCCATCCCCGTTCCTTCAAACAGTCTTGTTCCATTCATCCATCTTGATATAGGTTTGCCGACTGGTCATCTTTGTAGAGGCCGATAGGGGTATATTTTCTCTTCAGGTCTCTTGTTGCCATTCTTCAGATGTGACCAGAAACATCTTAGTTTGGTATTAAAAGAACAGTTCTAACTGTGAAGCTGTTCATGTTGGCCTTCCTGTACGATAACTTTTATTTTTGTTTTCGCTGTTTTTTTCACCATTTTGGGTTATATTCCTGCTCTAATGTTTTTAGGTTACTTTTTGAGTATTTGAACTGTAGTTTTGTTTGTATATTATCGAGTTAGTAGGAGAGTGTCCTTTGTATTGCCTAAGTGATGGTGCGGATTGGTTGTTCGGAATTGATGGAATTTTTTTTTCACTTGACTCGGGGTTTATTAAATATTATCAGATGGAAATTGCAGTGGAAGCGCTCCTTGGAGAAAAAACCTGAACCAGCACAAGAACACTTAAATTTACTAACAAAATGAATTGTCCGTGACCCGTGGAAGGACAGCATCTGTGACTGGGATGAATGAGACACACTGTAAAATTTAGACACTTATATTCCCTCCAACACTACAGACACAATCAAATAATGGTACACCAACATATGCGCACCTCTTAACCTAAACTTAAAACACTATTCTGGGGAATAAAAGTTATACATGATATTGAAATTATTAGAAACTCAGAAAATGCCTCATTAGACAACAATAAATTCAAAGTATTAAGAAATGTTGCTTGCACACATGAAACAGGCCTTAGGGTTTTCAACAAAATGATATCAATCACTGAGAAAAATGGTATAAAAATAAGAAATTATTAACTCCACAATGAATAGGCCTTAAGGGCACTCAATAAAATTATGTTACCAACAGAAAATGGTATAAAGCTAGAAATTATAAAGAAATATTAACTGCATTAAAGGAACTAAATCGCAGTATCACTTACAACGGAAAGGAGGAACCTCATCTGAAAACAGTTCCCTCATTCTCTGGCATCAATTACTGACAAAAACATTAAAAAACAATAATATCAAGATTATTTAAGAAATATTAATTACACACAATAAGACAATATCAGTAACTAAAAAAAATATTATCACTAGATTAAGAAGTTACCGAGTCCACCAATACCCATAAACACATGCTCCCTAACCTAACACACAGAATCCACCTGCACTCCATAGTTTTTAAGGCACAACCAACTGGCACCCGTAGTTAAGGCACAAACAAGCCTTTCTCCACCTTGGAAAATGTACCTCTAAGTACCCACTAGACTCCTGGTCTCAGTGTGTGACCATACATTCGCTCAGCTAGCCTCATTTTACACTCAGTACATCCATGAAACGGAAGGGAGTGGGCCAATCAGACCTTGTTCAGTTGAGAGAAGCTTTAGCTTCTCGTAGTAAAAGGTTTTCACTCACTGCTTGAATATATGTGATATTGTGAGCCGAGGTAGAAGAGATCTGGCGACCCTAGACGATCGTCAGTTGTGCACCCAGACAGCTGGTTTCACTTCAGAGATCCCTTGCTAACCCAGCTAACCAGTGAAAAGCCTGCACTGATCGTTCCAACTGCGACAATCACTAATCATCAGTTATCAATGGCATTCATCACTCTCAGTCAAATGGGTTCTGACGAAAACCCTGCAATGAACTCACTGTTAGCTATTACTCATTTTATCACTGCCCTATCTAAACCCTGTCTGAGATCGAATGAGACTTACTTGTTATACTGCAATGTCGCAACACAGGTGACTAGACCACGTGACCAATTTGTCCTGTCTGACGCACAGACCGTCCTCTCTGTTCGAACGCTGTCGTCTGACTGAGAAACAGGCAGGCTCGTGCTTTCCCAAGCCTAGGTGACCTATTTTCCCTCATAACTAATAGCTTCATTGGGACACACGTAACATATTTAGACTGAGAAACGATCCATAAAAATGTCAAATTAAATAATGTCATTTAATTTCATGATTCGCGTCCATATTAATCCGGTAAATTACATTTAATATCGTATAGGCCCAGTTCCAAAAGTTCTCACTACGTGCGGGAGCGCTCCTCCCTCAGTCGACCTTGAAAACTCAGTATCGCCTATATATATATATATATATATATATATATATATATATATATATATATATATATATATATATATATATATATATATATATATATATATATATATATATATATATATATATATATATATACGGAATCGCCGCCCTCCGGGCGGCTCTTTCGCTAGGCCACGGTAGGACGCCACCCTCCGGGAGGCTCCACATTGTCTCACTGTAGTGCATTAAGGTAGACCACATTTTTGGTTTTGCCATTAGCAGCAAGTATGTACAGATTTTTGCCAGTTCCCACTCTGGAGCATCCAACATAGAACTGTCCATGAGAGAAGCAAGGAAACACCAGGTTTAGGCCAACCATCTTTAGGGACTGTCCCTGGCTTTTGTAGATGGTCATGGCAAAGCTCACTTTAACCGGGAACTGAAGTCGCTTGAACTCAAATGGTAGGTCAGTGGTGATGAGAGGTATCCTTGGTATAAAAACGTCCTCTCCTTTAGCTTTTCCTGTCAGTATTGTAGCTTCCAGTACATGTGGCATCATGTTCTTCTTGTGAGCGACTCGTCTCTCATTTTGAGTATGATGTCTCGTTTCTCAAACTCTTGACCGACAATCAGGATGGCTACTTCATCAACTACAGGAGCATTGAATCTTCTTTCATGTTCTCCCTTAGGGGTCGTGTCTGCTTTGATCCTGACTTTGTACTCGTCAGAAGGCATGTTTTCCAGGGCATTTTTAAATGACTGTACATACGTGTTGCGCTCATGCAGCATTTCTTGGATAGATAGGACAATGTCATGTCTGACACCTTGAATATTGCCACACCTGATAGTAGTCTGTTTTTCATGATCTCCCATGAAGTAGATTTGGAGGAACTTTGCCTGCTCATCTTCCAGTGGTAAAAGGGATCCTGCTTTGTGATAGACTTGACCCTGGACTTTGAATGTTGGCATGTATCCGTGCTCACGAACTACTCTGGTAGCTCCAAAGGATGTCATCTGGAAGCATGAATTGTACTTCCGTATATTTTCCAAGAAGTGTTTTGACTCTGGTGTTGTTCCCAGCATGAGAGTCTTCAATGGTTGTGGTGGTTTTTCCAAATTTGGCAGTCGTACTTTCCCATGAGAGCAGCACAGTCCAGCAGATTCTCCTTTATACTTCTTTGCACCGCAGTGTTCACATTTCTTATCCATGTTGCCAATGACAACAGAGGCATACTTTTCATATTCTATCTCATTGTCATAGTTAAATGCTGCTCTTGCAAGTGGATGCCACTGTTTATAATTTCTCAGAATTCTGGATCCCGCAGCTCTCTGTCTATTAGCATTCAAACGTATTTTATGCACTTGATCATTTTCTAGAGAAGGCCCTTCTGCTGTTTGCTATCTGTCAGCATTAAGACGGGATTCCTTTTCCTGGTCTGTTTCCTGTGACCGACTGTCCTCTGTTTGCTCTCTCTGAGCATTAAGACGGGATTCCCTTTCCTGATCTGTTTCCTGTAACCGACTGTCCGCTGTTCGCTCTGGGCGGCTCATCCGCTAGGCCACGGTAGGACGCCACCCTCCGGAAGGCTCCACATTGTCTCACTGTTCAGTCCCCAAAACTTCTTCTTCCATCAATAGTTCATTAACGGTGTATGTAAGTTCCACCATGTTTTACACTACAACGGTACAGCAAAGTATATTTTTTTAGCATTAAACTGTTATTATTTTATTGTCTAATCATCACTACATATAACATCATCCATCATCACTACATATAACACCACCCATCATCTCTACATATAACACCATCCATCATCACTTCATATAACATTATCCATCATCACTTCATATAACACCATCCATCATCACTACATATAACACCATCCATCATCACTACATATAACACCACCTATCATCACTACATATAACATCATCCATCTTGACTACATATAACACCATCCATCATCACTACATATAACACCATCCATCATCACTACATATAACACCACCCATCATCACTACATATAACAACATCCATTATCACTACATATAACATCATCCATCATCACTATATATAACACCATCCATCATCATCACTACATATAACACCATCCGTCATCACTATAGATCGGTAAAGTAGTTTCTGAGAATCTCGTGCGGACACACATACACACAAACACACAAACAAGCACACACAGACATATTTCTTTGTTTTATATATATATATATATATATATATATATATATATATATATATATATATATATATATATATATATATATATATATATATATATATATATATATAAACAAGGATAGAAGAAAACACGTTTCTGTAATTCACATCTTCAGGGAACTTGGGAACTTCGTGTTTTCTTCTTTCCTATGGTTATCCTATGATCACCTACAGTGATTTACTTGCATATATATATATATATATATATATATATATATATATATATATATATATATATATATATATATATATATATAAATAATATATTTTTGGCAGAATATTTACGACAAGGAAAGGATACAACTTGAAGACCTACACCTTAAGATCAAAGACAAAGTAGAGAAACAGCAGGTGCAGGAACTTCTCCGTGTTCAGAAGAACCTCTTCAACACATACTGGGGCACGATAACTGGGAACACAGCCACAACCATAGGTGAAGAGCCGTTCAACAAAGCCAAGGTCCTACTCACAGCGTCTCAAGGTGGGATGCTGCAGCTGATCTACCTCCTGGTGAAGGTGGGAGGTGTGGAAGTTGATACACAAGTGGATCCTACTAATGGCACGACTGCCATTCACCAAGCTGCCTCACATGGCAAATCTGGTAGCGTCCTCCTCCTTCTGAGTCTTGGTGCTGACCCGCTACTCGATGATCTATACAAGCAAACAGCTCCACATTTGGCTGCCATGTTTGGTCACCAAAAGGCCTTTGAGCTGTTTAGATAGTTTCTAGATCATCAAGAGCCTTCCTGTAGAGCTGGAACTACTCCAACAGATGTCAAAAACAACTTCTCAAAGTACCTGAAGATGTATAACAAATGTGAATCAAACCAAGCACACGTAGAGAACAACCCGATAGATGCCACCATAAACCTTCTCAAACGTACTGATATTAAAAACTTGGTGAAAACTGCACCGAAGGTGACTGTTGATTACACTAAAAGTGAGGCCCAAGAAGTGAAGGAAGTCATAACAAAGGAGATGAAGGGAATTACAGACAAAGTTGCAGATATTGACAGTACGTACACTGGCACACTCACGCTGCTTGGGAGCACTGCAGACTCCACAAGGCTCTATTGTCCTGATGAATTTGATTTTAATTTTACACTCAAGAGCTTCTCTGACGTCACTGTTAGAATTATTAAACAACCATAGAAGGATGTCTTGTTAAGCGGCCACAAGTTAAAAATTGACATTGAAATAGAAAACCCGAGTCTTCAGGGTAATAGGTTGATGAGTAACCTGTATGACCGAGTAAGAGAAAGCCTTAAGAGCTACGTACTGCAGGACGAAAGACTGAGCCTTGTGCCACCTGGTGTGACCAGGACGCAGGTGGGCCTGGCCCTGTCACTGGCTTGGCAGGGAAGTGAGTATCCCTTGCTGTTGGTTGACATTGACTTAGTTCTAGTACTATCTGTACCTTGGCCTAAGGAGATAAGGAGACCACCCCTCACACCCGACGACTCACAAATGATCCACCTCAGTAACACCGAAGATGAAAAATGGCGCTGCAGCTTCGCCGCAACTGAGGTGGAGGTGGTGAAGAAGTTGGCTCCTCAGGAACGCCAAGTGTTTCTCACCGGCAAGACTCTCCTCTCCTACATGAAGGCTGAACCCTGGATGCCCAGAGACGTCAAGAACCAATTTTCTTGGTGGGACTCCCGCTACTGGAGTATCCCTATTCCTGCAGGATTTTGCTTCAAGAATTCCTTCCTGAAGCTGCTACAAGTGAAACGGGAGAAGAAAATCCAATGGAAGGAAGAGGATACAATGGCACACGTTATGAAGGTGTTTGAAGTAATGTGTCTGAAGACGGATGGTACTAAACATCTTGTGCCAGCCAAAGTTCATGCTTACTTCGGTGGAGACTATGAAAAGCCAAAGGTGGGTGAAGGAGCCCCGCATATAACTGAATTTCTCAAGAAGAGTCTCACGAAACTTTCAAAACCTTAATTAAGTTGGTTACCTGGGATTCAATTAAGACTTCCTCAAGCGTTTTTTTTTTATGTGGGTCGTGTGAAAACTGAAAATTAAAATAAAACATCAAATACAATTGTGAACTGTTTACATCACATCACGCCAAATGTGCATGGTCTCGAGCTCAGTATTATGACCCTATAAAGGTTGTGGAAGAATATCTCCCCAAGCCCAGGAGATTCCATGTTGCTACTCACAAGTCGTGTGACTCAAGTGAGATTGGTCATTGATTACATTGGTCAACAGCCAAAACGGTTCACATATGAGATCATGCTCACACAACTAATTTCATATTGCTGAATTCGAATCTGATATTTGTTTTGTTCTATCAGACCAGGTTTTATAAAAAAATCAATAGGTACAAATATTTAATATTCCATCACGTGTCGTGCAAAAAATGAGATTATCTCATGTGACTGTGCTTTCATGACTAATTTCATATTAATGAATATTAATTGGATGTTTCATTCTACCATCAGACCTACTTTCTTAAAGAATAAAAAAAATAGTAAATATAGTAACATTATCGCGTCATGCAAGATACAATTTTAAACCTATCACAGATAAGCTCATAAAAAATTGTACCAAAAAACATAAGTTCAAATCCTTTATAATGACAAAATATGAAGTTCTAAAAGTGCTTCTGAACTTTACTCTTTCTCTTGTACAGCTTGCTCTCTTCTCGTTGCAGTGTCCAGCAATAGTCGCCCATCATGTTAGGACTGAATTGTCCCTGATATCTGCTCTCCATTATGGCGATATCTTGATGAAATCTTTCGCCGTGTTCATCACTAACGTCTCCAAGGTTACCTGGGAAAAATTCAATATGAGAGTGGAAAAAATGCAATTTCAAGGACATCCTTGCTCCCAATGCATGATAATTCTGAAGCATGGTTGTTACGATTTCTTTGTAGTTGTCAGCACGATAGTTTCCAAGAAAATTCTTTGACACATTGACAAATGATTCCCATGCTTTTTTTCTCCAGTGGGTTCAATGTTTTGGTGAATTCGCTATCATTAACTAGTATACGAATCTGTGGTCCATTCAAGACACCTGCTTTCAACTTGGCTTCGGAAACCACACCACCTAGTTTCTGAGATAAGTATAGAGTCCCAGCACCGAATTGATCCATAGCTTTGATGACATTTTTAGCCAAACCGAGCTTTAGATGCAGTGGAGGTAAAAATATCTTTTCTGGATCTACAAGCGGATTGTGAGCACAGTTAAACCTTCCCGGCGCATCTCTTGGTCTTGTCGGCCAATCCTTTCTCACATAGTGCTCTGCATCAGCTCTGCTGTTCCACAAGCACAAAAAGCACATGTGCTTTGTGTAGCCACTCTGAAGGCCCAGTAGTAAACTGATGACTTTGAGATCGCCACATATCTTCCACTGGTGTTTCTCATACTCTATAGCGGCCAAAAGAATTTTCATTGTTTCATAGCTCTCAGTCATTTTTGTTGCGTGTGCTATTGGGACAGATGGAAGCCGATTGCCATTGTGTAAAAGAACAGCTTTCAGAGAGTCTTTTCCTGAGTCTATAAACAGCCTCCAATCCTCTGTCTTGTATGTTTCAGACTTGCAGAGTTGTTGCATGAGAGATACTGCGTCCTCGCAATAACAAAGGTTGTTTGCCATCTTGAAAAATGCAGACAGCTGTCTATGTCGGTAACGCGCTGTAGTGATATGCACTCCATCTTCTAGCAGGTTACGCTGCTTTAGTCTGGATCCCAAAACTTCAGCCTTTTCTTTTGACAAGTTTAGGTCCCTGATGAGATCATGAAGCGCTTCTTGAGTAAATAGTTTAGGCCTGGTATTTTCAGAGTCATCCTGGTAGTCGTTTTCCATTGAGGTAGAGGTAGAATCGGAATCACTCAATTCTTGTTCAGTCGGTGGATTTAGGACTGGAAGTTCAGCACTGTGCGGTACTGGTCGGATTGCAGAAGCAATATTGGGGTACTGTACCGTGCCTCGTGTCTTGATTTTTATTCCCTTAATATTTGTGAGATAGAAGTAGCAGTACCTACTGTGGTCTTTAGGTTCACGCCATATCATTGGTACAGCAAACGGCATTCCTGAACTTCGTTTACCACACATCCACTCGCTCAGGTGGTTAACACAAGACTTACAGGCTACATGAGGTGCCCATTTCTTGTCTTGGTCACCCAAATGACATTTGAAGTAACTTTTGTAGTTCAGTCGAACAGCTTTTGTGATTGGTTTCTTGAGGCTACCAGGAGTGAAGGCACCACATATGTAGCAAAAACTGTCAGCACCGTTCACACACTTGCGACGTTCCATGTTTTGTTAATTTCAGAGTAATTACAAATCATGCAGGTGTAGATATGCAATATCATGAATCAGCAAACTGAAACAAACAAAAAAGCACAAATCAGGACAAAATAATTGCATAAGTGGAGCCAATGAGCATATAAATTACTGTATGAATAGCATGGTACACTAAATATATAGATATGCTGGTTCTGGAAAACTGAGCCTGATACAGCTATACGAATGTCATAATTGAGTTCAGCACATACAATTACACTAGAATCAGACTGTTTTGATCCACAACCATGAGAATTTTTTTTTATGTTGACCAGTGTTATTATTGTTGTTGTCTTGTATACCGATATGATACTTGTCAAAATAAAAATTATTTCAAGTACATATTACCAATTATTGATTACCTAAATACCCGAGTGCCAGTAATGTAAATAATCCACTGACAGATAGAGTAGCACGGTCACATCAAGACCAAATTTTATCATCAACAGACAATATGATACTCATGCTTTACAAACATAGGTAACTAAGTTAAGAAATATGCAAAGGCTGCACAAAATGCAGAAAACACGATTAAATTTATCTTATGATTATGACTGTTGCTTATCACCACTGCGTACATATTTTTCTCACTACTTAACAACATGACGTGTGTTGTTGAAATAGGATAAGTGCGTAATAAATGTATCGTGTCATAGTTGTACTGGAGGAAGGATGGTTATGGTACGTGGATGAGATCTTGCAAATGGCGTTACAAGTATGAAAATTGGCATAAACTTAATTAAGGGTTAATTATCAAATCTATCTGATTGGACATTCAAAATTCCAAGATGGCCGCCAAATGTGGAAGTCAGATTTCCTTATTGTGTTCATCAATTCAGGTGATTCCATTGTTGATATCCCTATTTTGGGGGTCTGTGGAATCTGAATTTTGTGTTGAAAACTCTGAAATGGATGACAATCAAAGGAAACATGCTTATAAAGAGTGAATGTCAATGTACTACCAGGACACACTGGTGACAACACTGCTGTGAAACTCAGCATGGGTTTAGTGTCAGCTAGGTACGAGACTGATCGTAAAGATTAATATATACAAGTACCTAGTGATCCCATATGTTACCCAATCAGTCTCAAATAAGGTTAGGTAGCCGCATCTGAATTGGCAGGATGTGCCAGCGCGGGAAAGACGAGCCAAGGATAATGGGGTTAAAGTTATTCGGATGGTGTACAGATCGCACGGGACTTAAATGAAGGATCGGGCTAGGTGTAGGGCAAACAATTGCTTGAACCTAGTTGTATCCCATACAGGAAAGTACATATGATACAGAGTGGTAAAGGGATAAACCCTCGGCATTGTACCACAATGGCGATGAATATTGGTCCTAAAAGTAATCATGAAATGAAAACAAACTGGGCCAATTGCTGTCTATGTCAAGAAGATAAGAAGGGAGAACTTAAATATCC